AAAAAAAAGACTGATTAGCGCCTTGCACTGCAAGGTAAACGTGCTCATACGCTTTTGTGGTTCTGCAACAATTGCACCAAAACATACAAAAGTTTTGCTTTGTCAGTTTGTTTTTCTGAGCTGTCAGCGATTTTTTTGATTCTCGCTCCTTCCTCATCTCTCAGTTTAATGTTATAGCCTGCTTTGTTTTGATTTTTTTTAGTTCTTGTCTGCATTTGCACAGCAATTTCGTAGGCCGAAATATTAAGTTACTAATACAAATTATCGGCAAGCACTGTGTCTCGTCAGCTTTGATTTTGTAGCTCACCGAATTTAGAAATCATAAAATTAGCTTGGGCTTGGTCTGAAGCGGTAAATTGAACAAAAAAGTGAATTTTAGATGATTTATGCATCCTGCACGATGAATCAATGGCTCGTCTAAATCCATTTGGCTTGTTCAATTTTGAAACGTAACAAGTGGCTTGAATTTGAGCATAAGGTAACTGGGCAAAGATATGAGTGAAATTAGACGCTAATAATAAGACATTAAATTTTGATTTGGTGGGACTTGTTAATTTCAGTGAGTCGTGCGTGATGATTTGAATTTTCAACATTTGGGTTTACATCTTTGTGCGTCCTCGGAATACGAACTCCGCAGTCTGAAGACATAGGACAGCGTACGTGAAAAAATGCAGGATGGCTTTATGTTTCTTGCCTCGTCCAAGACTGGGGAGCTATTTCTGAGGAATTTAAATCTCGGAACTTCAGTGATTCTGAAGTTCAATATTTGGATTTAAATTATACAGCCACACACACATATGCATACACATACACGCTTTTATTTGCATAAATTATTTATGCAAAAACAAATAACAAGTACGCAAGGCAAGGGGACTGATGACGCAGATCCGCGCAGTGTAGGATGGTGATTGTGCGGCTTCTGGTTGTGCTCTCTGTTCCTTTTATTCTAGAAATTTGCACTTTTTTGAGTCTCTCGCAAGTTCGTCATATTCGACCGTCTGAAAGAGATTGTGGCAGGATTGCTCCAACACTGGCGAATCCTGGATTTTCTGATAATCCTCATAAGAACAAAAAAGTGAATGGTACTCGATCCCGGAAAATCCAATTCAAAACGTCTGCGTCCCGATGGAACTGCTACGCCGAGCTTTTAGTTCAGTTCTGGGCATTTCTTTTGGACTGATTATTTTTCTCACCTCATTTTTTGGTGATTATTTGATAACATTGATTATGCCCATACTGTTCCTGAACCGGCATCATCTATGGCGCTCACTGATGGATCGGGCGATCAGTTTCTGGATTATAATTCCGATTGTAAGTTTTGATTTTTTATTTTACTAACCATTTTGTTTTCTGGGGTTTCCGAATCCGAAAAATTTTAATCCTGAAGTATTAAGAATTCCGATGCACTTCTGATTTTCGCTTATTGCTCACATATATGATTATGAGAAGCTGGAAAAATTCAGTTTGGTCTCGGTAGGTTTTGAGTTTTGGAGGGAGGAGAAAGGATGCTGTGATCGATGAGCAGTTTTTTTCAGCCAATAAGCAGAAGGCAGCGCTAAAGATTTCATAGCCTCTTAAATCACTGATCCCTCAGATGACCGTAAAACACTTTCAATCTGTTAAATGAGCGATTTCGACTATGAAGTTTTATTGAAATTTCTTATGAGTTGGAAGCTTGAATTGTTCCCTTGCTAATTTTCAAGGCTTGTTAAATACAAGTTTATTATTGCTCGGTTAATGCAGATTAATTTCAAAATCTCCTTTGCGTCAATTTCCTATAATAGACAAAAACATTCGGATATATTCCGTAAGTATCAGGTGTCAACAGCAACTACCTGCTGGCAAAGATGTCGATTGCTTCCTCATCCGAGAGCCACTTAAAAACAAACAGATGGCGAGTTAGCATGCGTCAATACCAATTTACCATCGAAATGAATAAAAAAATTTGTCGAGGGATTGATCGTTCCACTTGTAGCGTTCGAACCCTCGATCTTTTGTACAACAGCAGTTACCACTGGGCCAGATCTACACCAAAAATTAATTGCTTTTATGTGAAATACAGTCAGTCGAGGATTTCCTTGTGGTTTTTAAGAACTGGATTGTGAAGGAATTTAAATTATAATAGTCAAGATAGCGTAATTGAAAAAATTCGATTTTTTCTAGCAGGAACTGAATTTTAGACTTTTCTGGAATACATATTTGGTGTGAAATTCAAGTTGACAGGTGATACAATAGATGGTGATCGGCCAGCAATAATCATAATGAATCATCGAACAAGACTAGACTGGATGTATTTTTGGGCAGCATTATTCAAAATTAACCCACATCTACTAATTAGCTCAAAAATCGCTTTGAAATCCGAGCTTCGCCGAATACCAGCCGCAGGTATGTTCAGAAAATTCTGCTAGTCTTCTAGCCCAGTGGGTTGGTCACGAGATGTAAACCAGTCTGAAGAGGCATAGTTGTAGGTGGTGCCGCAAAAACGTTACAGGCCGCTCATAGTTCAATGCCTGCCACGTGATCCGAGAATATGCTGATTCGGGACTGGCTGATACGTTAGGCCTTAGACGTTTCAGCTTACTTTTTAAGCAAGCTTTGGAAAGAATAACTGTTGAGACGTGAAGAACATTGTTAACAGATCTGCTGCTGAAGCCTTATCACTTAAGTTACGGGACAGTCCTTTTTGTTTTCATTTTTTTTAAAAAGCAACATGAAGAGGGGATTTGAAGTTTATCGAGAAAAAATCCGAAGTACGGGATGCATATGTCAAGTTCTTTCAAAAAGCGGTGTAAAATTTGTCGGCGTATTGATAAGAAAGGCCGAAACATGCTTGTCCCTTTGATCCTGCTTATCAGTTTTGCGGTATTTCACAATCCTCTTCCTTGCTTTCGAAGGAAATGCTGTCCTTTTTTGTCTGAATCTTTTTTGTTTTTTTATAAATAGTAATTGGCAGATGAAAATGAATAACACTAAAGGAAAAGAAAAAACACGCAGAAATAGCATTATTTAAAGGACAGGGAGGAAACAAAAACATAAACATAAAAAATAGACAATAATAATAATCCCGCAAATTCAAGCACATATATATATATGTATATATATATATGTATATATATATACATATATACTGAGAACGGGTGGGGTGAAGATATTTTGGTCTATTAAGCTATTTAGGTCTTATCTTAACACTGCAACTGGACTTTGTCAGTAAAACAACGGTTGCGATACCAATTCACATCTGTATGTTCTGTGTTAAGTTGTTGAGGTGTTCTTCTTAATAAATTTTATTTATACATCCCCTCTTTGGAGGAAAAAAATTTTTGCAGGTTTCGGAATGGAAGCAAATCAGTTCATTTTCTTGGAACGCAAAATTGAAGAGGATAAGAAGCGCATTTCTGAAGCTGTTTATTATTATTCGACAATTGGAGCTAACTATCAGGTTCGTAGGCCTTCGCCACCTAACTATTTTTCTCAATGCTCTTTATTTAGCTGAACGGTTACAGCACTTTTTTCGTCTTTTATTATCGCATTGTGATAATGTAATTGAAAGGTGATAATATGTAAGCAGTATGCAAAAATTTCGAAATTAGAAGTCGAGAAGCCGATGACCGTGTCCCGTTCGAATACCACTGTTAAGTGGGATATATATATGCTTGCCTATTTTATGCATATACATGTTTATTTCATGTATAAAAACAACCCAGGCTGGA